GGGGGGGGGGGGGGGATGGGGAATGGAATACCTGAAGACCATTGTACTCCCCAATTCAAGTCTTACATGTTGTTTTTTTAATCCAATGAAGGAGGTTTGTGCGCTCAGTTCCTAAGCACAGTCTCTGTAACACTAATCATCTAGGACAAACAAGAGAAGACCAAAGTGCTAGGTACACTTGTTAAGGAACAAATTGTACAACATAGATAGATAACTTAATTTTTTAATAGGGTGCTGCTCAGTAGGGCTGTGCAAAGCTTCGGGTGCTGATTCGATTTGGAGGAGATTCGGCCCAATTCTCCAAATCCAAATTGAATCAGGAACCAATAAAAGGGTCCAAATCAATTTGAAGCTCTCCAAATCTTCAGAAAAGATTCGAAGAGCTTCAATGATTCAGACAGTCCCCAGTGGCTATAACAGGGAGCTGCAGCCAGATTCAGAGCCAGTAAGTAGGGGCAGGGGAGGGTGGGGCTGGAGGAGGGGAGAGGGGACCATGGGGAGACCCCTGCCAGGCTGGGCCCCCTGTAGAAAAACCCTGGGACTCACCAGCTCCTGCAGAGGCCTCAGGGTTTCAGGGGGTTCATGGAAGAGTCCTCGACATGGCACAGGGTAGTGGGGGGCAACAGGGATCACCTCTGCTGGGCAGAAATGGTGAGTGTGGGGTTTTAGGTGGGACAGCGGGGGGTGGGGCTCAGGGGGCTCGTGCAGAGGCCCCCATGCAGCATAGAGCAGTAAGGGGTTCTGGGGATTGCCCCCCGCCCAGCAGGAACCAGTAAGTCTGGGGTGGATGGGGTAGCCATTGCCAGGCTGGGAGAGCGGGCGGAGGATGGGCCTGGGTGATTCAGAGATTTGGCGATTTAGCAGCAGCTGAATCAAATCCGAACAGTGATTTGAATCACCAAATCAAATCACTGTCCCCCAAATCGGCTGAATCCAAATCCAAAGCGAATACTAGCCGCTTTGCACAGGCGTACTGCTCTGTTCACAAAAGTTATGGATACCTCAAGTGACCACTGTTGAAAAAAAATACAAGACATGTCATTTCTTGAATGGATAAACTGGCCTGGCTCCTCTTTTGCTAACAGAGTGTGTCTTTGCTGGAACAGTAATGAGTAACATGGATTAATTTTTCAATGATCTGATGACACTATAAATCACATGGTATTGTAATGTGGACTCAACGGCATTTTGTGTGACATGCTGTAAGAGTATGTGTGTCACCTGAACACACATATGTTATATATATATACACATACACACACACACATCTGGCTATATGTGTGTGTATATATAAAGTATGCCTATGTATTATACTTAAATATACTCCAAACGAATGGCCATAGTGTTCCATGGCTGACAGCATAGTGATATAGCTATGGACATGTCTACAGTTCTTATGAATCCATTGAAAAGCTAGCTGTGTCTCCATGTTCGCACATCTTCAGGCATTACCTGGCCCACTGGAAGGCATTGTTCCAGAGTGCAGTTCTCTTTACACAATGCCTCTGCAGGAAGAATTGCTACACCTAATGCTGTGTCACTTTCTTTTTTTCCATAGCAGACAAAGAAGCTGATGAATATTACATGAGAAGAAGGCACCTTCCAGATCTGGCAGCACGAGGGACCCTCCCTCTCAATGTCATCAAAATGACTCAGACCAACCACAGAGACAGGCCCCGCCGGCCCCTGCGGGCTATGTCCCAGGACCGGGTGCTATCCCCTGAGAGGATCATGCCTGAGGAGTTCAGCATGTCCTATGAACGAATTCTCTCTGATGAACAGCTTTTGTCGGCAGAGCGTCTCCATTCCCAAGACCCCTTGCTCTCCCCAGAGCACTCGGGTTTCGCAGACCAGTCTATGTCACGGGCATTGTCTCATACAGACGTCTTTTTTTCAACACCTGTCTTAGATCGCTACAGGATGACAAAGATGCACTCCCATCCTAGTGCCTCAAATAACTTATACAATACCTTAAGTATGAACCAAACTTCTGCTAAGCGCCAAGCATTTGCCTCCCGACGGCACAACACGGTGGAACAACTTCACTTTATCCCAGGATACCACCATTATCCCACAGCAAGCAAAACAGAGGTGACTGTTTGATATGACCTTGTGCATTGTAGATAAACAGTAAGGACTGGGATGGCCCCAGCACCCCACACTGCAGTGGCCTTGTTGGCCAAGATAACCTCTAACTCAGCATCTGAAAAGATTTTTCCAACAGTCACACCTGCATTGTTTTTAAAACCATCCAAAAGTTGTTGACATATGAGAAGAAAATTCAAGATATAGTGAAGGGATAGTGGAGAAATTTCCTGACATGTATCAGCTTCTATTTAAGAAAGCCATAGCAGTAGTTGGCACCTTCCAAGGGCTTATCTGCACAAACTCATTATTTTTATGAATTTAAGACTAATGTTTTTTGCAACAAGCAGACTCTCTTTCACAGAGCCCATGATAGGAAGGAGGAAATGAAGCATGGCAGAAGGAAATAGCAGGGTGGGGCCCTGTTGCCATCTCTCACTTCAGCCCCTGAGGCTGCTGTGGAACCTTTCAGTGACTGGAGGACATTGCCCTTGGCTGCTAAATGTCACAGCCAGGCAGAAAGATGTTAGTGAGTTGCCAAGTAGCTGTTCTTCCTGAACCTTTGAGTGACTTCAAAGGCAAACTTTACTAGGAGTTATAACATGTAGTGACATGATTAGTTTGGCTAAAGTTCTGTTTATATTAAATATATTCATTAAACAGAAATATACTAGTGCCTACAAATCATCTGCTCTATTAGTGTAGGAAATAGTAGGATTGATGTGTCAATAAGCACAATTATGCTGAAATGTTTCTTAGGCCTTTTCAGCACTCATCACAATTTTGCCATATCTCCCTCCTGTAAATACAAAGGAGGGATAGGATTTCCATTCCTTCAGCTTTTCAACAATGCAATGCCTAAGACACAAGTACTTACTTACTCTTATACACTAAGGTTAAAATTCTAGTTCTACTGAAATGGCAAAATTCCTATTGACTTCAGGAAGCTAGAATTTATCCCTAAATGTTTTTATTTCTATTAGTACTTAACTTCAATCAACTTTCTCAGAATTCTATTTTTAAGTCTAAATCAGGGGTGGCCAGAGTTACTCACCCTGGGAGCCACATCTGATCCTCCACTGAAGTCAGAGGGGGATGCTGATTGACCAGGAGTGGAGGTAACCACCCTCCCCCCGCACTGCCAAGCCGCTCCGGCTTTCCCTGTGCGGAGCATGCCCCAGGGTAAGCAGCATGGTTGCAGCCTCCACCCCTGGCAGCCTGGTGCTGGGCTGTGCTGTCCCCTGGAGCCACCTCTAGAAAAGTGGGCAGGGCTTTGGCCAGTTTCCAGCGAGCCACAGTTTGCCCACTGTTGATCTAAATGTTCCTTTCAGTTACAATCATGAACTCAATATTTGACTACTCTTCTGCTAAAACTGCCTGGACAAAAGTGCAACACTGTCTACAGAAAACCAGATGGGCATTTTTCTATCACTGAATCAATAATAATGGCCTAAAAAACCTTTCTTAATGCAGGTTCATTGAGCCCTAATCCTAACTGAGCAGACAATAACATTTCATGCACATGAATTATATATCTAACATAAATATCCTAAACGGGCATGTGGTATATCTGATATATAATGATAATAAGATACTGAATGTCTGTACATAGACTCAAAGGCCCTTCATTTGTGAGTTTATTTTTTGAGTTCATATTTAAATTTTGCAGAACTATCGAACTAGAATATACCTCTGTTTGTGGGAAGGATATCATAGTATTACAGGCCAGTTTATCATCCCACACCAAGCGACTGCACCCATGGTAGCATCAATCTCTCTTCAGCATTTCCACAGTAATACCACATGTTCAGATTCGCATCCCATGAGCAAGTTGATTTTATAACTGGGAAAGATGGATCACCCAGCAGGAAAAGATCATGAATAACTATATAATTACATACCCTAATACTTTCTCATTTAACTAGCAGTCTTTCTTTACTCCTTCCCTACCCTCAACTTCAGTCCTACCCACCAGTCTCTGGAGCTAACCTACCGTTGCCTTTCCTCTACATTCCTCTTAGGGCTTTGTTACACGTTAATTCTACTCAGCTCCAGGAGTTCTTAACCCTGGACTGTCCAAACATTAACATTTGAAACTAGTTTTAAGAACCCTTTAGGCAGCTTAAAGTTATTCCACTCCAGACTAGGTTTATCTCTGATCTGTGCTATGCACCTCATGTTACACTAAGGTGTACCCACTCTAGGCTTCACCTTAGTGTAAACACCTCCCCACCCCTACTGGCCCAGATTGGGCCCACTCCCTCCCCGCAGCACCCTGGATCCCCACTCACTGCCCTGCGCCCTATCCCTGCTTATTTGTTGCTGCCCCCACTGTCTGTCCCAGAGGAGCAGGCAGGGAAAAGTTAACTTACCTGCCCAGCCACCATTGCCCCTGCTGCTTTCTGGGACTGGCTCATCCCTGAGAAGAACAGCAGCCCTCCAGTGGCAGTGGTGGTCAGGCAGACAGGTTAACCTTTCCCTGCCTGCTCCCCTGGGATAGACTGGGAAGCCACAAGTAAGTAAAGGGGCGGGGGGCTTAGGGGGTGGGAAGAGCCTTGAAGGGTAGAGGGAAGGCCCACAGGCGGAGGGTGGGGTGGATCTGGAGTAGCCCTGGGAGGCAGAGGGGTAGCCTGGAATGGGACGGGAGAGGAATTTCTTAACTTTCAGTCTTCCAGGCTCCTGTTGGCCTGAATGTGTGACTGCTCCAAACTTGAGCTAGCATTAACACCAATCAATATTTAAGGAGATCACAGTGTAATGTATAACTAGGCCCTTAATTAGACCCCCTGCTCTGGGTCTGGACAGAGATCACAGTTATAGCTATACAAGCTTTTCTGATATCATTGTTACATCTGCATCCTCCCGTAGCAGCAAAAGTGGAGCATACCCTTTAATTCTGTTTCATTCAGGGTTAAATAATACAACGGTTTAGCTCACTCAAATTCCTAGAGGAGCTTCCAGATGTAACAGCTGAATAAGAACAACTGAAATGTGTTCCTAGGTGGCAAATCATCCTTGCCTTCTATAAGAATTGAAAATTACATTTCTTAACAGTCTCAGCCTATACACTCCTTAACTGATGCCTCTCCTGTCTCCTTGTCCTGCCTCTCCCCCTCTCTCATTCGTATTAGTTCAGCTTTGGTTTGCCACCCCCAAACAAAAGGCGTAGGATGCAAGCTGATTCTAGTCTCTATGCCTCTGCTCTTCCATGCACAGGTTTGCTATGAGGCATCCAGGTTACAATGTTGGAAGGCTGACTGTGGAAATGTAATCTCCTTAGGAGGGCTTTTAAAGCTAGTTCCCATTTGGCACTTGTGCTGCAGTGCTCAAAGGTAATAAAAGGCCATTATATTTCCCACTGCTTTCTGGAGTGTATTTACCTCAATCCCTAGCTCAGTGGGTTTAGTTATACCCAAAATGAAAGAGACAATGATAAGAATGTATTCCAGCGCTGACAAATATTTTTTTGTTTCATGGATCTAAGGAGGGTTTCTCTGGTCTATATGCTCTTCCTTATTTCATGCTTTGAGAGACAAAAACCTCCTTGGGATGAGGCCATAAACTCCAAGTAAATCATCCTGTTTTGACAAGGGAAGGAGAAAAAAGGAAGGCTTCCTTCAAGCGTATCACACAAGATCTCCTGACTTCTCTTTTCTACCTTCCCAAGGCCACCTCTTACCACCTCAGCCCAGTTATTCCAAGCCAAACCCATGCCAAAGGTTCACCATCAGCAAATTGCCAGCAGTCCAAGAGCCATGGTTAATTTGAACAGACTGGAGCTACTTGCAGCTTCCACAACCTCTAGGGAAAGTGTAGACACTGACATTATTTTCTCAAGTACCTGTGTAGATTCTGTGTTGTGTTCTGAGCCATTTGATTTCAGAGCCTTCCTTTGTACTGTTTGAAAATCATGACGGCTCCTTTCTTACCCATCCTAAACATACATTGATAATAAACCTCCAAAGACAGCATGTCCTGCTCTTTTCCCTCTCTCCCATACACATACTTTTTGATTTCATGCAGTTGTATTAAGATTTGTTCCACAGAAACTAGCAGTATGAAACTTCTTCAGGGATTCCAATACTATGATGACAGACCACAGAAGTTCCTCTTGAGACTGCTTCATGCGTTGAAAGCCTCCCTTTACTTCCAGAAACTACGCATGTCTGTGACTTGCCTGGTATAATGTGGTAAATTGGTAATTATCACAAAGTTTCAGTACAAGCAGTTGTGTTAGATTAAGCTTCTTTTCATCTGAAAGGCTTTCATTGAAAGGACTCAGGTCTGTGATTGGGAGTCCTGGCTCTGGATAGCTATTGTTATTGGTTTGCTAGAAATCCTTGTTTTGGCATATCTAGTCTGAATAAAAGGAAAACAACATGTGCTGCAATATAGTCTCTAGAGTAGCAGGTGTTGACTTTAGTAAGAATACGAGTGTGCACTATGTGGAGCAGCTTTGTGAGATAACCCTTCCATTTCCTTTTCCTTTGGCATATACATCCAGTCCTAGTAGCAGGATGCAATCCCCATGGTTTCTTGGACACACAAACCCCACTTTCTCTTTTTTTATCCTGTCCATATCTGAACCACCATGTCATTCTGTACTGAGGAGATAAGCAGAACACAGCCAGGATTCCTCCGTATAGTATCTGTTGCTGGACTCATCTATTCCAACTCTTTTGTGCTTTAGCCCAGTTTATGTTTATTCTATGATAGTACTGATGAGAAAGTACATTTGTATCTGTAACTTTGCGCAGAATGCTTATTCTGTTCCCAGATAGTCACAAGCCTCTGTGGACTGTCCACTTCTGAGAATGTAAGTAGGGGAAGGGGAGAGGTTCAAAATAGAATGCCAGAATGCCCTGTGAACATGGCATTTTTATTTCCTTCCCATTGCATGCCCCAGGCAGGACTGTACAACCAGACAGCACTGTACAACAGTGGACTGTACACAGTTTTATCAAATAATGTATCTATATCTATATCTCTCTATATCAAACTATATAGAAAACTCTCTGTATATTAGAATATAACCAAGAAGTTCTGAGTGACCCTGTAATAATTTAATC